ATCCATCTAAAGTAAAGTAGTGCTCGAAGTTTCTTTGTTGGATAAGTGGCATGTTTCCGTTTCGTAAAGTTACGTTCGGTTTCTTTGAAACGCCATCACTAAGTTTTGATGAAGAAAATTGTTTACCCATAGTTTATGAGAATGTATTATATAATGTACGAATTAGTTGTAATTATATTGGTTAAAATAATAGAAAAAACATTGATTGAATAGTTTGATGATTTAGTGAGTAGTGTTTTTAGGAAATTTGAACATGTTTTACTAATAACCTATATAATGGACTACATAGAAAAAGAAATTCTACGTGTAGTTGTATAATATACAGTGAGTGGTTTTTAACATGTAAATTATAAAATGAGCTACAATTCCTTTACCTATTGGGCCACGACCTCAATATTGAAGACCACTATCACCGAGGCCCAATTATCCCCAAGTAAGGTTTGGGTCCGACAATCTCAACTAATTAAACTTCAGCGCAATCAATGAGGTATAAATAAATGTTGTAACTCATTCATTAAGGTATGTCCTATTATCTGAGCAATACTACCAACTGTATTCTCTGGACTATTTCTATGATCAGCACGTCTGACTTGAGCGTCGGAGGGGTTTCCGACGGATCAACCCCTGGCTTAGTTTACGTATTCTATGATCGCAGGTATCTCAAGGTCATCAAGCGCGTGAGCCAGTGATCCACTCTGCTCTTCCAGCTCATCCTACATCAACTCTCTAAGGTGATCTATCTTTAGCATCATCATTTTGGCGCCGTCTGTGGGAAGGCAAACATAATCACGTAGCGCGCACGATGGCCTTGAGACATTTGCCCAGGGGGAGTGTGACACTGCTAACGACCTCCCACCTCGTGGAGGCTGTGGCTTGCCACTTCCTCCTCCTCGTGCTCGAGATCCAACACGAGACCTTCCTCGGATGTCCCACTAGATCCTCAATAGGATTCACTTCTTCCCGCCCCTCGATCGGTTCAGACAACCGAGGATGCCCTTCAACGGTAGCAAGGGTTATAGACTCCCTGGGGGCTTACCTCTGCCCCCAAAATATTTCGTTCGCCAAGGGTTATCTGTTAGATAAAATGGGCCCAAATGTTTATTTGGCCCAAAATTGCTAACCCACTTTGTGCAGCCCACTCCCTTGGTGTCAGCCCATCAGCTCACTTAAAGCCCAAACAGATTCAATCTGGACCATTGATTGATAACTCTCGATCTCAGCCATCCATGCTCCACTTATATATCCTCTCTTTCTCACAAAGCCTCCAAACCCTAACCCTAACAGCTGCGCCCCCTCTCTTCTCTCTCTTCCCGACGGCCGAATCTTTCGCTGGATTCCATGGCAGTCGGAGATTCGGTCGATTCTCTTGCCTTCCTTCCTACAGCTGTATGGGTATATATACATCTCTTCTTGAAGATAAAGAGAACAACGAAATCTTCCCATCTTCTACCTTCTTGTCTCAAATCTCTATGTGGTGAGTGGTTTCGTGCCCTCTGTGAGTGAGGGTAACAGATCTGGGGAAACACTGTGTGTATGAGTTCGATTCGTTGGGGTTTTGGGTTGGGTTGAAACTACAGTCGGAGTGAGACTGAGATCTGAGCACTCGGATGAAGTTCTGACTGCTGGGTGTGATCTGCGAGCTTGACACAGGGAGTGTGCTGGCTGCCGCCAATTGGACTCTGGACGTGGACACGGGAAACGAGGACTGAGCCGTTGTTGTGTCACCTTCTCCATCGGAGCTGAAAACGGGCAGATTTTCGGTCAGCCCCAGATTCGTTCTTCTTATTATTATTTATTTATGTAATTTATTTGTTAAGTCTTAATCCCCTTCCCCTTAGGCTTATTAATCTTTGTAATTCATTTGATTAAAGGTCTGTAATATTAATGCTATTTGAACGGCCACCCAACACTGGTACCAGAGCATCGTCAAGTTGGGGGTGCTCGTTCAAATAGGGCGTACGAAAATCCAATCGGATTCCGCTCAGGTATTGTACCCTAAACCCCCTATGGTTGGGATTTATTTACTGTTGTGATTGGTACTGCCTTAGTTTTTAGATTCTGTGGTCTGTGAGCCATTTTGTGTGATTCGTGGTCCGTGAGCCACTCTGTGTGTTCTGTTGTGGTCTGTGTGCCACTCTTGCTTCTGTGTGAACATTATTCTTCCGCTGCACATATATATATATATATATATATATATATATATATATATATATATATATATATATATATATATATATATATATATATATATATATAAACTGTACACTTATATATATAAATATTAAAGGGTGGTATAACTTGGATTCTCAACCTCACTTGACCGGACCGCAAGTGCCCTGGAATCCTGTGAGGGGGGGTGTCCAAGATTGCCTATCCATGTTGCATATGCCCTTATCCCATTTTTGGCCTATTGTGAAAAATTGGTCTAATATCTTGCTTTATTTGTATGGCTGCCATGTCTGTCTATTCTATGGCTCCTTTTGATGGTAAGGGTGATTTTTCTATTTGGAAACAGAAAATGAAACTTGTGTGTTAATTCAACAAAGATGCTATGTGGCTATTGATGAATCTTATGCTGCTGACACTAGTGCTTCTAAGAAAATAGAACTTGATGAACTTGCTTACTGTGCCATTATATTGAATCATTCTGACTCTGTGATTAGAAAGGTAGGTATGCATGATCCAGCCAAAGGTTTGTGGGAAAAATTAGACGAGCTGTACACTGAAACTTCTCTATCCTTAACATTGTTTTTACTCGAATTTGTTTTTAGATTCAAATTGGATCTAACCAAAGATATTGATGAGAACATAGATCAGTTTACCAGATTAGTTCAGGATATTAAACTGACGGGAGACAAAAGTATTGATAACTATACTCCCATTGTTTTGTTAAATGCAATCCCTGATTCTTACAACAATTTGAAATCTGCTATTAAGTATGGCAGGGATAATATTTGTCTTGATACTGTCATAAACGGTTTAAAGAGTAAAGAACTGGATTTGAGAGTTAACAAAAGCAATAAGAGTTTTGGTGAGGTAAACTTTGTGATATGAAGGCAGCAAAACCGATTTTCAAATAAGCCTTCCTCCAGTAACCAAAATATTTCTCAAAATAGTTCTCATCAAAACAATTTTCAAAAGAAAAAGGGCAGGGGCAGGAGTAAGTTGAAAACTCGTGTTAGTAATCGCAAGTGCTATAATTGTGGTGAACCTGGTCATTATGCTCAGAACTGTGCTAAGCCTAATAAGCACTCTAATGATCAGCATTCTAATCATGTTTCTGATAATAATCTTGGTGATGTGTTTGTGGTTGGTGACATGCTTGTGTGAATTCTGTGCTATCATCTCTTGGTGAAAATGATTGGCTTTTAGATTCTGCATGCTCACATCATATGACTCCTATGAAACATGTTTTCTCCAACTATGAATCATTGAATAATTGCAATGTGACTATGGCTGATGACACAAAACGCCAAGTTCATGGAATTGGAACTGTTTGCTTAAAGTTTGAAACTGGTTATGTGTTAACTTTGCAAAATGTGCGGCATGTTCCTAATTTGAGTGAAAATTTGATTTCATGTGCTATCTTAGAAGATGATGGGTTTCATGGTGGTTGGGGTAATGGTT